ATAAGGATTATTTGACATTATTATTATAAGGATTATTTGACATTATTATTATAAGGATTATTTGACATTATTATTATAAGAATTATTTGACATTATTATTTTATGGATTAGAGTATTAACCTAAATCTACTAACTTAGCCGAGCCACGTATAACCTTTACCAGTATCGTAGCTATTACTTGGAGATTGGCTTAAATAAGTGATAACCTTAACCCTTGTGCAGACACACACAGTCTTGGTTATATTATGTAATATTTCTACTTTTATTTATTTTCCAAATTTTATATTTAACATTTATTATTTCATTATAGTGATTATTCTACATTACTAATTTCAATGTTATTATTTTTATCATAAAGATTATTTCATATTGTTAACTTAATTTGTGGATTTAAGCATAACCTAGCCGAATCACGTATAACTTTTACCATCGTATGATATTTCAAACTTGGACCTCAGCCTAAGCAAGTGAAGGTTTTTTCCCTCAGTGTCAGTTAGGATATTTAATACTTTTATTTTTATTATTCTAATTTAATTTTATGTTTTATTATAATGATTATTCTGCACTGTTAGCTTAGTATATGGATTTAGGACTAATGTAAGCCTCCTGGGATGGCCAAACCTCATGAGATATTATTGGTTTTATGGCCAAAATATCTTTAACAGTGAGGGTACCTAACTGATGAAACAGTGCAATCGAATTCTCATGAGTTTTGAACATTATAACTTAATTAGCTATGGTCATTAACAGGTATAAGTTTTTAAGTTCAGATATTTTGCTTTGATCAGAAGTTCATATCAATTAACTACAAGTTAAATGAAAAAGAAAATTTTACTTTATGGACAATATTTATAATATTCAAGATACTCCACAATTTATAAGCATTTATTACATATCTTACAAATTACTATTGGTATTACTGGGTTTCATATATTGCATCATTTTTTTTGCAATTGTATGTATCTGTCTGTTTTAATACTCAATCTTGAAGAACCGAACAAAAACAAAATTATGTAAAATCACTCATTTTCAATGTAAAGTGCATAGGAGACCCTACTAGTTGTTAATGGAATTAATTAAAACAGTAATGGTATTTTAGTTTACATTTTTTGTGTGATGCATACATGTACCCTACAGCCAATAAATGATAATCATGAATACCAAAGGAATTTGGTGCAGAAATAACTTAGAAAAACTTATCAAATAAAGCTGTTGTGTGTCTACATGTACCCCCCCCCATCACTAGTTCTAGTGTTAAAACATGTTTTATGTTTTTAATTCCACAGAATCTATATTTGAAATACTGTTAACCATGATAACTGAAAATAGTATGAGATTTATGCAAAATAAACAAATGTCTCACTGACTGAAATTAAATGTTGATGTAACATTTACCAAGTATTACAAAAATGATAAACTTTGCTCTATTCCACGAGATACTTTATCTCTATATATTATTTAATGATTTTCTGTAGACTAAACCATAAACAATTTATGAATTGTCATTTGAGACAACTTTCTCAATAAATCACTAAAGTGAATATTATGTGTGATAAACCTTTAACTTAACTTCTTAAGCAATTAATGTTGGCTTAAATTTCACTCGGGTTTCAAATCACCATATATACAAAAACCTGTACAGTTCTGTGTGTTAGACCCTGACCAACCCAACACAACACAGAAAGAGCTAACCTGTGCAAACTTGACTGACAAGGCTGTGATCAAACCTTTCACACGGGAATAGAAAGGCAGCATGTAGAAGTAAGTCCGAGGTCCACGTGGTCCATGAGCAATTCCACCTGGGTTAAGTCATATTAAGTTTTTTTGAGTGAAACAATGAGTTACATTTTAAAGTAAAATACATAAAAGTTTTATTTGTTTTCATTATTTTTTTAGTCAACATTTATTTATGTGAAGTAAAATCTGTGAATATTCTCTTGGGTGCGTATTACCACTAACATGTTTATGTATGCAAAGTTTTGGTTGTTAAATATTTTTTTCTTTTCAAATATTTAACTTCCAAGCTTTGTTTTGTATGTATATAAAAAAGCTCACAGAAACAAACACTGATACTGAAGGTTAAGCACACTTTATATAAACAATGTTCCAGGTTGTGTGCTGCTTCCTCCATCATCAATCATGCTCAGTATGATGACCATTACTGCCTGTAACAAGCTTTTTCAAAGGGCGATAAAGTCAGTCTTAGGACACAATTGACGACAATATTTAAACAACTAAAGTCCATTGGAGCTGTACTGATGGCTCTGACCATTTTTTTTGTCTTTTTTCTGCAGCATTGCATTGTCCAATAACCATGAATTCCATGTAAAAAAATATACAAGTGCTAAATATCATCTGTAACATTACAGGTCAGTCACATATACAGCAACATACCACTGAATTAACACATACAAATTATCAATATAAAATGTGGTTAACCTTCTATACAAATCTTGGGTGCATCTTTAATTTCAAACAATGTGATGTTTCTAATTTTTCTTGTTTACATACCAGCCCAAGAAAAGATCTATTTTAAACATAGCGACGTTTCTTATTTTTTTTTGTTTACATACCAGCCAAAGCACAAATCTATTTCAAACAATGTGAAGTTCTATTCCAGTTGAGAACTTCCATGTTCAGTGTTTTTCTGTGGCCAGGTACAAGTTTTCACTGTTATACATTGTTAATCCATAGTCCTTCTCTGTTCACACCAAACTCTGATTGAACCGAATTCCATCAGAATGTTCTAATTTATTCACTTCAAAAACTTAACTTTCATCTCAAACAAACAAGAAATGTTTTAGATATACCTAAGTACCTGTTAATTTCTGATTGACATATTAGGTGTAAGAAAGATGATTTGATATTTCAATTCAATTCTTTCTCCAATACTTTTTGCATAATATTATGTCCTGAATGATTGTTTCTCAAAACATGCATTTTTTGTTGCATAGATTCAAGTAACACAATAATGAAGACATGCATTTATCTCACTTACACAGTAACTAAAGTATTACACAACTGTTTTTATAGGAAAAGTGCTAATTAAGTAGACATTAAATTTAAGACTTATATATGTATATATATATTTATTGTATTCAAAATGTTGAAAGTAAATCTACAAGGGTATCCAAGAGTCAAGTTACAGCATACGCACACTAAAAATGTGTACATTACTATATCTGTGTCCGAAACTTGGTAAATAAGGGGTGTTGCAAAATAAATCACTTTTTTTTCCCTGAGAGCATAACAAAGTAAAATAAGATTTTAATTCAATCAAAAAAGTAAGTCCAAATACCAATATTGTTTGTTGGGCCACCATTTTTCTCACGCACAAGTTTTAATCAATTTGCAAAAGATTTCAGCAATGCAACAAACATCTCTGTTTTTTTGGCTGTCTCTGTGAGCACATCAGTGAGAACACGAATCAAAGTTTCATGTTTGTGTCTCTTGCATTCAGGCAAAGTTTCTAACATTTCTTTTGTGCATTGTTGAATGAAAGCTCCAACATTTTTGGCAAAATTTAAATCTGGAGAGTTCCCAATCCACATTCCACACATTTTTCATGGACCACTCTTTCAAATTCAACAATTCTGAAACTTTTGAGGCATTAATCGGATTTTTCAAATCTGGCATTGCAACGTGTCGATTGAAAGACTTCAGTTCTCAGAGCATGTCTGCAACTAGTTTCTGAGCCATCCTGAAGGCAGCACATGCTACATGAACCTGAGTTCTAGTGAGTCCCATGATTAAAAAATTTTTGCCAAAAATTAACTTCGAAGAGTCAAACACCCAAGAGTACGATGAAATGACATTTCCTCACGAGTAATGATATTCACGGTCCTACCAAGTGCGTCATTACTTCGGGGAAAAAAAGAGTGATTTATTTTACAACACCCCTTAAACAAATTCTGAAAGGATATTCAGAAAATAAACTGTAACTTGACCTTATAATAAACTAAATACAATGATATAACCTCCTCTCCATAATGGGGAACGTATACTGCCATGCCTAGCCTTTCCCAGTCCTTTCTGTGGCCATGGTTTACGCCCTCCTCCTCGAACTTCAGCTCGAGTTTTTGTTGTAGACCAGTCCTAGAAAAAATCAATTCAGGGTTTATTTTAATTTTCATTAAATTTCACATATGATATGTGTACCCATCAAACTTGATTGCATTTGTAAACACTGCTGTTTCTCTTTTTATTACAAATTTATTTCGTCTAGATAACATCACTCTACAGGACAGTTTTAGGACTAAACCGTTTCACTAATAAACTATTATAAAAATTTGAATATCTTTTAATTTGATAAAAAATAAATTTAAGATAAATATCGTTTTGAGTTCAATATATGAAATGTTTTACTATGACCATTTTTTTTATACACCCATGAGCACAAAGATTCTGTAAAATGAATTTCAAATTTGTACTAACAAGGGTAGAAGAAATAATTATATTATTTATAAATGGTGAGAGTTATTTACATTCCCAATATGAAAATAAATAAACTTATTGGTTAGAATTTTAAATTCGTTTATTGGAGAAGAAATCACAGAAAAAACAGTTGATATAGAAGCCTGTGTTGGGCAAAAATTTACAAACACAATACCTTTTACCTCTATTCAGTAAGTAAGTAAGTTTACATATTTCTGCTACTATGATAAAGCAAAACTTTCAAGAAATAATTTTAAGCAGATACCCACAATACCCAAATAAAGAAAAACAACAGAATTGCTATACTGCAAATGATAAATAAAAAATTAATAAATATAAAAGCATATCTATTTTTATCTTACCAATTTAATCATTACTGCACTTTTTAAACCAATTATATTGAGCAATATAATATTTTCACACATTCTACATTATGGGAATGTTAAGATTTATTTATTACTTTACACAAAATACATCAGCTCCTCTGTGTGCATATATATATATATTTGCACCATTTCTTCTGTCAATTTTGTGTTTTTCATTAAGGGCCATTTCCATTTTACTGTTTTATCAATGATGAACATATTATCATGACACAATGATTTCTAGCAACAGGAAGACTCTTTCTAAAAAAAAAAAACAACAAAACAAAATCAAAACATACCACACGTCTGTAAAGTTGTTGCCAAGAAATATTGAGATTTAAAATGTCAACTCTGCAAAAGAAGGAAGCATTGTAATGTAAAAACAGTGGTGAAGTTGGCCTTAATTTTCATACCTTTAACATGAAAACACTATCATAATATTATACATCAAAGATAGCTATTAACTATAAGTGAAAGCTGTACGTTCACCAAAATAGATTTTGTAGAAAAATAATAAAGCTGTTAATATTTCTCCATCATTTAATTCTACTATACATCAGTGTCACCAGATTTCTAGTATTCATAGCCAAAAGTTACCTCAAAACAAACCCAGCTTTTCTTAATTGAAATGAAGCTTGATGTAAACAAAAAGCAACTGAAAGCTTTTGTAGGAAAGGACACCCCAAGTAAATTTGAATTTACAATGCTTGAGGGTGACATCATTCCATTGTTACCAATAAACTTGTTTGTCTCCATTAGGAAGGCTGCAAAAGTTGCAATCATGGATAATTTGTTCAATTTTGGTAATTTTGTGACTATGTTATTTACATTTAATAAAAAACACATTAAATTTACCCTCAAAATCCTTGAGATCTGTTACAAGTCTATTCAAAAGTAGCTACCATGACTACCAAATATTTCCCACAGCTATCTTTTCCAAGCGATTCAATTCCACAAGAAATCCACAGCACTGACAACACTGCTATATAGTTACCATTCGAATACTATTTTTATCACAATTAACTGTCATTTTTAAATAGCTATAAACCCAATTCATTTAGTTACTTTATCTTCCTAAGATAAATAATATGGTGAAGTTAATTACGCAATGTATCTACAGAATATTTTTTTAGAATATATCATTTTTTTAAAACTGTTTTTGAAAAGGTTGAAACAAAATTCTCAAAGATATGGACCACAAATTACCTTCATAATCTCTCTTTTTTTTATTTCACAAAATATTACAAGTAACTTCTTGTCCTTATGAGGGGGGGGGAAACGATTGTTACAAGAAAACTTTATAAAGGCACTTTTAAAGACTGTATACTGCATTTTAACAAACATTTTTTATCAATGATTAAATTACTAGGATATTAAATCATATAATATAAAAGTCAAAACTGGGAAATTCTAAGATGCAAGTCTAAAAGCAACAACAATGAATGCAACATTATAGTGGCAAGTACAAAACAGGAAAATAGGCCTAAGATATGTTAAGCCTACTTTCAAAACTAATTTATTGTAGCAGTGTTTTGTTTTTATGACTTAGTCATTCAAAAATCTGAAAACTTTTATTTAGAGGATTTTAAAACCAAAGTAAAGCACATTCACACACAGAAAAATTAGCAAGCATAAAGTTTTTATAGAATTATACTGAATACCTCAAATTCTTAACAAAATGGAAGGAATGAGATGTTGTCTTATGATCAAGAGGAAATGTGTTTTTTAATTATGTAATCCACAAAAATAACTTTGAAAATATCACTGTTACAGCTTCAGTATAATGGCAAAAACGTTTGTCTTATAAATTTTTTAAAGTCAATGGTATGAGTTTCCTATCTCATTTTAAAATGTTTCTCTTATAAAAAAATTTTAAGTCATTGGTATGGGTTTCGTATCTCAATTAAAAACGTTTCTCACAAAAAGAAGCAAACTTTTTTTTGAAGCATCAATTAGATTTTTTGTTAAAACCATATTACTAAGTATTCCATGAGGGGGGAAAAAATGCAGCTTATCCTTTCTTTGCTTTTAAAAAAGTGCCATAGTATAATTCAAGACAGTAATACATCCAAAAGCACCTGCAGAAACTAATTTCTCAAGTTAACATTCCTCTGCTAGAGGTTAGATCTACTCATTACTCAACTCACCACTATGTTTTATGTAAAGTTTTAGTATCTCCATCAGAGAGAAAGAAGTTTCCACAGATTGAAAAACAGTATTCAAGGGAATTGGGACAAATCAAAATTTTGTCAAAATTTTTGGTATTACTGCTAAACACAATAGTCCCAAATAAGATACAAGTGAACTAATGAATACTAATTTATTTTATTGATTCTGAACCCTACACTGTTTCTTTAGCATTTGAAGATTTCTACAATGTAACCTTCTTTTGTTTACCACATACCTAGGAAAACCAGCAAATACTGAAGGATGCAAGTCTACAAATCCCAGCTTCTCTCCTTCAACAGTATCCAAACTCTCAACCCAGCTCTGTCTTGGTTTAGTAAACTTAGGACAACAGTCCAACTTTCGAGAAGTAATGATGGGTAATGGAGGCCTTCCCGAACTTGGTACATGAGGTGAAACTGAATCAAAATATTGACGTTATTTCTCATTATTCTTTCAATTAATTAAAATTTCTTCAACATAATTGATTAGTCTCAACTCATAAAAATAATCAAAATAAGGGTTTCCAATTATTACTATTTTTGATTATTCCAACTACACTAGTAATTTAAATACTGTCAATATGTTTGTTGTTTAGCATAAAGCTGCACAGTAGACTATCTATGCTCTGCCCATTGTGAGTACTGAAACATGATCTCATGTAAGAATAATCGATTGGTTAAATGTAATTCATTAATGAGCCCAACAATTATTCAATTAGCAAGTTCCATTAATCACCCAGCTTTAAATAACACTTATATTTTTTACATCTGTTTTATTATAGAAATCATACTTAGGTGACCTATAGCACTGGTATGAAAATTTGAAAATTATTCTATATGGTAGTATTAAGTCAAACTGACAAATATATATTTACAAGTTGCACATCAATTACCAATATCAACTACAGTGTGGTTTAACACATTTTCACTCACTCTGAAACTACATCCAAAGTTTGGCCCATTACTTGTGAAATAAAATTTTGGCACATTTTAAATTTACTTTCTAAGAAGAAGAAGAAAGAAAATTAGGAAAAGGCAGTAATAATAATTTTGAAAAAAATATTTATGATTCTTGTGACATTCATGAATATTTTCCTCACTTTAAGATTTACAGCATCAGTCTACATATTTCAATTCTGAATTGATATAATACTTCACATTTTTCTAATGTACTAAATTATGGGAGTTAATGACAATATTTCCTATGATTTTCTTAAGGGAACTATATCATAATTTGCACATAACATCATATACACACACACACACATTACTCCAGTTTTTACTATTATTATGTTTTTTAACAAAAATATAAACACACTGAAGAAAAGGGAAAAACACTGATGCCAAACGAATATGCATATTCATTCATCCTGATTTTTTTTGTGAAATCTACATCTTTTAGTCTCAAAACTACATGTTGTGGTCTTTCTTTTACGTATTGTGTTATGATGTTTTGTGAAGAATCTGTAAATGATGGAAAAAAATGGATATCATTTTTGGATTCTGCGTACAGGAATTACTGTAGAACATGTAAAAATTTCAAGTCAGTAAAACCATCACAGGTCTTTATTATTAATATGATATCCATTGCTCAATTTGAATTAATAAAAGGTTTTTATTTCTGTTTAATTATCCTACTTCATTAAAAAAAAAATCATACAGAGTTCTTGATATGGAATATCTTTATTTCGGGGGAATCATAGCTTTTTTTCCCTTAAAATAATTTTATTTGGGTGAAATATGAAGCAATGAATTACATTTGTCTGGAGGAGTAGTCTTAAGCTGCATAACGTCATATTGAAGGAATTGAATATTTATTCCCACATACTGATTATTGCTGTATTTAACATTAATAAAATCAAGTTGATTTTTAATAAATTTTAATAATGGTTTTATGATATGCTTTATGTATCTTCATGCCATCTTCTGTATTGATACTTTCAGGCTGGGTTAAATTTTGACAGCTAAAACCTCAGCATTTTCCACAAGCTGAGAAGCACATAACACTATGTTTCTTATGGATATATCTCAGACTCGAGCAATCTGTTTTACAGTTTAAATCAAATTATCTTCAATAAAGCTTCAGGAGTAAATGTCACATCTTTCTATTTAAAGACAATGTGCTTACAGTACAAGAGCCATCCCCATTGAAGGGGATTCATATTTTGATATGGTCCTTTCCATTGTCTGATTGGAAAATAAACCTAGAGACTATGGTATTTAGCAGCTACTACAGGTGATTTACTGGATGCAATTTTATCACAAAATATGTTGTAAAGCATCAAATTCAAACCATTCTTCTTTTTATTTCCATTGTATAAACATACTAGAGCCTTCTCAATTTGTAAGAGGGCTAAAAGTTCACAATTAAAGAAAAAGTATTTGACATTGCAAACAGCATGCATTCATTCTTCACAAAATTGATTTCTTGTTGTATCCTCCCTACTAAAAACAACTGCTTGCTTTAAAAAAAAACTATTTCTGAATAATTTCAATGAAACTCCTTTTCTAATACCAAATGTATTTGATGATGTTTTACAAATCTAAATAAGATGTTATGACATACATCCGATCCAAGTACAGCTTTGGCAGAACTTATGTCTCAGATTCTTTGATTCTTTTTTTTGCATTTTGCTTAGGTTCAGATCTGAGATAACTTTGGAGATGCAAGGATCTGCATGGTACAACATAATAGAACAAAGAGATCAGTGTCTTCACCAATGAGAAGTTTGTCAAGTTTGTTTGGACAATGATATGATAGTTCTTTGGATAATTAGTAAATTACATCACCTTTACCATGATGCACTTCATAAACAGTCTTCTGAAGTTCTTCACACAGCATATAAATGAATCTCTGTTTTTTTATTAGCAAGATATTTATCCTTTTTTTATCATGACATTCATTTCTCCCTTAGATTTGACAACTGTGCTAATGGAACTGCCCATCCATCTCTGATGATCATATATTTTGTCACTTTACCATCTTCGTAGCCATCAAATACAAATACTACACATTCATACCTATGTTGTACATAATTAACATGGAATACGCTTCACACTGTTTGTGTTCAGAATGGCTTGTTTTGGCAGATGTATTATTACTGCATCTTTAACTTGACTGATTTATTCCATCCACACCTTTCTCTTTGAGTAAACCTTGTTCTCTTTCTGACAAAGATAAAGATAACTTGCTAATTACACCATAACCCATCGGTATTGTTTATTTGGAAAATCTCCAAAACAACATCAATAACGACAATCAAATTTGTAACCTGTGCTACTGCTTAACAGATAGATGTAAGAATTGCAAATGCAATTATCGTGATTTGTATCTATACATAGTGTACTATTCCAAAACGTTGAATCTTGAACTTTATCAAACAAAGTAGGAAATTTTCTAAACTCAAAAGTAGTTGTAGACACACTAAAGAAAATGTCAACTCTAAGAAAATACATAAGTTTGTAATATTTAAACAATTTCCACTGAACCTAAGTGGTATATTTATCAGTTGGAAGGTAAACTTCATTGGTTGTGAATGTGTTGTCTTCAGTTACTTTCTTACTATCAATTGTGTTTGCTTTTCAGGTTCTGTCAATTACCATTAATTAATTATAATGTTCAACATGTTAATACATAGCAGACATTGGAAAATAAACCAGAAAGATGTATATTTCTCTCAAATTGAACAATAAACTGAAATGAATGGCAAATATCAACTTTTTTTGTAGTTTCCTACATAAACAAAATTTTAGCCTGAAGTAAAGACATTTCACACCTCGAGTTTTTATAAATTCTTAATACATTACACAATACAACATTAAAAAGATTATATGAAATCCATATTTTACTCAAATTTAACCACTTACAGCAGTCACAATGAATTTTCAGTTTTTCAAGATTTTTATCCAGAGGCCAACTTTTCCAAGAAAAAAAATGGGCATGCTCCACTACCTGGACTTCTTAGGATTTTTGGTATGTTGTAAAGGACTTTAAATTTATCACAGTGCACCAGGATTTATTCATATTCCAACCTGTTATAGGTTAGGTCTCTAATTCTGTAAACTGAAAGGACATGTTCAATGCATAAACATTACGCATGCATTGTTCATGCTTTTACTTAATTATGAAGAGATGCCGTATACTTTTAATTGTTCGACATGTCTCCATATCCTGTGAGGACACTACCCCTTGCACAATAAAAAAGGACAGAAGCAATGCATTTGCCTTTTTTACAAATTTAACTCAGTTTACCAAGTTATATTATGATATACATACATGAGCAACAGCCTTCAATTTAACATTCATGTATTGCCCTGTGCACATACAAATAGGAAATTTAATACAAAAACTTCAAGAAAAACCAACAGTTTTTAACAATGTTCATTATGAAGTCATTTATGAAATTCACAGGATGCTAAAATAATTTGTTGATAAACTTTTTTTAATCATAAGATATTATTAAGAACAAGGCAAGTATTGCTATTAGTTTTAAGTCAACTTGGTTAAACTGAAACCAGTAAAGAAATTATAAAACAATGTAAGTAAACTAACACACAATGTTTCTAAGCTACTGATAGTAGTTATCTTTCAATTTCAGAGATAAAAGGACAAAGATAATATTAACAAGTCTTAATAATTATTAGAAAAGGCTAGATGACACAACAATGTTTGGCTTGTCCAGGCCAGTCATGCCTACATGCTTTATCCAGTTCCATACAACTCTCTCACTTAAATTCCTAGAATTGTAAATTCCATTGATTGAGGACACATGGTATGAAAATTGTATAAACACATTACATTTCAGCTTCAAAATTTTAAAAATCACATTGTCAATGTACAATTTATAAGTAATATTATATGAATGAAATTGATATAGTATCAGCTTCCCATAAAATATTGGACATTATTCAAGTTGTTATATTTCAGAAATGTTTTTGATAATGTACATAAATAAAAAATTATAATAAAATCAACTTGCTCACACCCATTATGTAAGATAATTAATTTAGAAAAATTATAATAAATAAATCGTATCTCACCAATTACTTTAGAAATATCTGGAGTATCTTCTACAAGTGTCGAACTGAGACATCTACATACATGAATGTTCCTATATACCTAAAAACAGTAAAAATATATAAAAATAACAGATTTTATTAAGGATAGAACTCTAAGTACTTCAAAACATAAACAACAGAAACATGAGTCTTAGATAAATTGTGTTTAAAACAATGGTTTTTGGCAATATCTACTCACGCTTATTTTATTTTTGAATTAGGATGGTTAATAAATTTTTAAAGTTTCATGAGATTTCGATACCTATGCTAGTTTAAAAATTCCCAATCATAATTGATGAATGAATATAAAATTTTTGAAATATCCTAATATAAAACACAACATATATGTCACAGTAAAACTTATATGTATCAAATCAATCAATTACAGTTTTTATCATAATTTTGCCAAGTTTATGAACATTTTTGTGAAAGTATGATCCTTGCATTAAAAAATTGACAGCTGACTGATAGTGACATTTTCCTTTATACTAGTATTAATATCTTCTATAATAAATCATAAACAATACCAAAAACATCTTTAATACGGACTTTCGGAATTTCCTTAAATTCCATCATCATCATTAATATCTAAAAAAAATTAGTTCATAATATTCGAACTACAAAAAACAACATTAGCAATGAGCGAGATTTCACTCAATGCTTATATATCTTCTTATTAGAGTTACGCCATTTTTATAACACTATGGTCTATATCTTCAGTTTTCAGTAGGTTATTCTTCACTAGCACTGTGTTTGGTTCTCACACTGCAGTTTTTCACTTCACTTTTCATTGTTTGATGTGCTCTTTCAATAAAACTTTCACTGTTCAATTTACCGCAAGTTTCCTATGTCATTATATTTCTTTTTTTTGGTGGCGTATGTATCAACTTTTCTACAGACTACAGTGCTGTTGTAGTATTTAACTTTATTCTTCTAGATATACTTAAATGCAAGAAACTAAGGCATGATGTAAATGTAAACACTGTGCATACAGATCACCTGGTAATGTTATTTTAATCTTACTTTGAATGTTAAAGTTTAGTTCATACTTTTCTGTACTCTACTTCTCTATAGTCTTAATCTTATCAACTTAATCAAGCCTAAATTTTATCTCACCTGTTTTAAAGGCGTAAAGCTCACAATGTTCGATGACATATTACACAAAAATTTTAGATTCATTATTTTTAATTAAATATTTATTATTACCTAAATAATAAATAAATGTTTTCCTTTTACACAAAATCAAAAAGAAAGACGCTTGTATTCATATTTTCACAAATCAAACTAAGCCTAACATTTAACTGTGCACAACATGGACATGATAATAATTATAGAGGGCATTTTTATCTTTTGTTATTTTACAGAAAAGTTTATTGATGAAAACAAGTAAAACGGGGACCTTACAAAACATACTTTAGTTCTATAGGATATTTCAAGATTAAAGCTTAATATGCATATATATTTGTTTGGAACAAGAGTGTGTGTTTACTAATGGAACCGTGGAAAAACAATGATTGGATTTATTGGTACACTTTCTTCATAAATACGATTTATTAAAGAAAAATGTTTAAGGACAATATTGGACCTGTTGGTCCATCTGAGCAATATCATCCACTTAAATAACCCTTAAAAACTTACAGTCAGCCCTTATCATTTAGTTATTTCATAAGCCTTTCAACTTAGGAAAATAAAACTGTCATAACTAAAGATGACTCAATCCTACCTTGCCAAAATTTATAGTAATGTTTTCGAGTACTACCGTTCTCACCATTAAGTACGAAAAAACATGATGCATCGACACTATCAACGAATAAATTAGACCCCTCTTATTTTTCTTTTTTCAAGAAAAACAATTTCAGAGCTCTTAATCTGTTCTAAAATGACAGCCTTTCTATCCCAAGTATCATCCTACTAGCCCATCCTCTGAACTATTTCCAATATTTCAATGTTTTTTCTAAGGTAAGGAGCCCAAAATTGAGTTCAATGCTTCAAATGTGGCCTAACTAATGACCTATGTAATGCAATTGTCATGTAGTAGCATAGCTCTCTCGTTGACGGATTATTTTAAATTATCTGGTGAACAGAATTCAACGTCCAATCCACGTAACCACAATAAATTACTTTATTTCCTCCTTTAACGTTTTATATAAAATGAACACTTGTACATTTCCGTAAATTGCTGTAGGTCTACGTTACAACTGACGTTAGTTAACGTAAAATAAATTAACTTACATGTACAACGTGACCGCGATAGCTAACACACAGAACGGTTTACTCTCTATCTTGAAGAGGCCTGGCATGGCCTAGTGGTTAGGGTGTAACCTGCGAGTCGCAGGTTTGAACCCCTGTCACCGAACAGGTACGCTCTTTCAGCTGTGGGGGCGCTATATTGTTACGGTTAATCCCACTATTCGGTGGTAAAAAAAGTCAAAGAGTTGATGGTGGGTGGTGTTGACTAGCTGCCGCCCCCAGTGGCACAGTGGCATGTCTGCGGACTTACAACGCTAGAAACCAAATTTCGATACCCGTGATGGGCAGAGTACAGATAGCCCATTGAGTAGCTTTGTGATTAACTACAAACAAACACACAGACTAGCTGCCTTCTCTCTAGTCTAGGGATAGCTAGTGAAGATAGTCTTCGAGAAGCTTTGCAGGAACTTAAAAACAAATCAAACCAAACTCTATCTTGAAATCACTCTAAACTCTCTAACTAGCCTAACTACGCTTTACGGAATGTTGCATTTATAATCTACTTTCGGATATACTAGAAAAACTTGACATTACATTTTTATGATCTTCTCGACATTCTATGCCCTTTAGCTAACACGCAACTTACAACATTAAAATATAACTTACAACAATAATCTCCTTAGACTTGTTTTCAATATTTCTGTAGATGCTATTTAAAATCCAAGTTGCCCTAGCACTAGCAACAGCACTCTGTTTGGGTGACGTAAGAGGCTGATCAACCAGAACACCAAGGTCCTTTTCTTCCATAAACACTATTAAGTAGGGATGCAGGGGTACCTGGCCAGATGTTCGTCCCCGGCCGGGTATTGGACTTTCCGGTGATAATCGGCTCCAGCCGAGTGTCGAAGTTAAAAACAGTCGAATCCGGGTAATTGAAAATGACATCTAAGCCTTAATCTTTGTGGCAACTTACTGGTACTGAAAGCTACAGTGAAAAATTGGTTTAGTTAAAAAAACAAACAAAAAACGTGTTCTGAGCAACAAAGACTGACAGCCCGCCGAAAGTCGGGGATTCAGAGAACAATAGGGTTAATAACAGGTATGGCCTGAGAAGAGGATTTCTGAAGAAGTTGAGGTTTTGAGAACAATAGGAGTTAGGGTTTGAGAAGTTGGGACAAGGCATTGAAAGTTGAAAGTAAAACTTGAATGTTCTGATGGTGATTATTCGGTTTAGTGACCGGGTACCCGGACCCAGTATTCGGCCAAATTTTACTACCCGTGCATCCCTACTGTTAAGGTTATTCCTATTAAAATTACACTTATAACTTAAATTACGATAGCCTACTCGCATTACTTTAGATTTATTATAATTAAAAGTAATCTGCTATTTAATCACTCAACTTACCAAATAATTTAAATCCTTTTGTAAACAAGCACCCGCCTGCTCAAAGACAGAAACACCAAAGCCCTTAATACTATCAGCAAACTTAAGTAATTAAATAATAACAGCATTAAAGCTTACCTACAGCTAAACATACAGTAAACTGCAGGACAAAATACGCGGAGAGTTTTATGAGCTTTAAGACATCTAAGTTTGATTTGATGTGGTTGCTGTTAAACATATGTCTGCAAAATGAGCTATATGTGCTCCTCCCACCACGGGTACCGATTTTAGTATTGTAAGTCTGCCGATTTATCATTGAGTCACTGGGAGGGGAGGGAGGGCTAAAAACAGCTGAGATTAATACTTTTATTCATTTTTTTGATGAATAACATGTTATTTATTCATGTAGTCTGAATCAAAATTTAAGATTTATTTAAAAAGTTTATTTTTTCATCGGTAAATGTTTAGAGAATACAACTCACTTTTAAAACCCTTGTGTTATGCACTTTTTCTAGCTCTCATTTTGCGTCTTACAAACATGTACTTGTTTGGTATGTAAATTCTACTGTAAAACTCAACCTTATATTACATTTCAAAATAAAATATACAACGTATAACTGAACCTTCTAGTTTCCAAATTATATAAAACTTCCCGTTTTACTTATTTTAGTGTCTTGATTAATGTTCCGTCAGATTTACCTATTTAAGTTGATATGCGTGAAATTTAAAAGGATTTAATTAACAAGCTCGAGAAAACTGACTTTATAAAATAATTCGACTTGTGACATGATAATGTAAGAACCTTTATGCATACTTGTTTGTTTGTAATTAAGCACAAAACTACACAATTGACTATCTGTGCTCTGCCCACTATGGGTAATCGAAACCCGGTTTCTAGTGTTGTAAATCCGCAGACATACCGCTTTGCCAATGGGGGGGGGGCATTTATGTATACACACACACACATATATATGTACATATAATCTGATGTTCATTATATTTACACCACGTTTGGCCTTGTTGTCTTCACTTTAGACTTTGTTGGACATAAATTTGATATTCATTGTTAAATTCATTCTTCTGATCACAAGTTTATGAAATTCGTAACACATTTTTAAAAAATAAAGTAATTGTCTGTTGTTGTTTTTTAATTGTACGGCTTTCTGTAGTTAGGTAACTACAGTATGTGATTTGACAATGTTAATTTTCATTAACAGTTAGTATATGAGTTATAAAGGAACTTTTTTATTTTATTTCAGAATTATAATGTTTCTTTTATGGCAATTTTCCCGTGTAAATTCACTAAACCTAAACTTATGTAATAATAATTATAATAATAACGCATGTTTTCTAGTTGCATATGGTTCACTGTAAATGTAGAAACGGTATAATTCTTTTAGCTGCCACGTTTACAAACAATAGTTTGTTTGTTTGTTATAAATTTCACGCAAAGCTACACGAGGGCTATCTGCGATAGCCGTCCCTAATTTAGCAGTGAAAGACTAGGGGGAAGGCAGCTAGTCATCACCACCCACCGCCATCTTTTCGGCTACTCTTTTACCAACGAATGATGGGATTGACCGTCACATTATAACACTCCCACGGCTGAAAGGGCGAGCATCTTTGGTGTGATGGGGGATTCGAACCCGCGACCCGCAGATTGCGAGTCGATCGCCAAAACCACCTGGCCATGCCGGGCCACAAACAATAGAACTTACGATAACATGCTAGATACAGATACATGTAGACATATGTGAAAAATATGGTGAAAAAAGAGTTTATTTGTAATTTCTGGAACATTTCTGAAGAAATTATGCTTAAAAACCTATGGAAATTTCAGTGATAATTAAATTCCTTAATTTTTCTGGTTGCCTAATATATGATTTAAAATCATTAATTTTTAACATATCCTACTGCTTGCTGTTTATTTATTTTAGCATAAAGCTGTTCCACAGACTATAAGCCGCAGGGATCAAACCCGGTAATTTTAATGTTATAATATTTTATATCTACCGTTGAATTATCCGGGAACGTTTTAATACATATATCAATCTCTCTATCTTTGAAATGTTCCTTTCAAAGTCAAGTACGTGTTCTTATCTTTCAATATGTAATGGTATTTCTCATTAGTATGTGACACTAATATAATCCAAATTGTTTATCTCATATAAAATTATAATGATGTTCTTCAATGAACATTAACTCTTCAACCGCTATTATCTGTGTGTTCCATAAGTAAGGTATACTCTATTGTTATATTCATTAATAATATAGGATAGAATGTTTAATATACCTAATTTTATTATTTTCATTATTATACTTTAATTATGGAGATTGTTTTGCATTATTAGCTTAATTCATGTATTTAAAACTAACCTAACCATCCAAAGCTGGCCTAATCTAGTAAGATATTATTGGGTTTACGGCCAAAAATATCATTAGCGGTTACAGTGTCGAAATGATGAAAACAATGCATTCTAATTATATAAATAAGAACGTAAGACAACTATATTTACTTAGCTATGCTCATTGTCAGGTCGATCTTTAGTTTCATTCCAAGTTGGTAATCTTGAACCTCTAAAACTATAAGAAGAAATGACTAACTAAATGTGACGAATAAAAAGAAAAACAGCTGTGTAAGATGATCTCCAATTCTGTGGGTCGATGAGTATGATTCTCCTTTTCTTTTTTCTTCGTGACTTGTATCAACTTTTTTAGTTCAAGTTTCTTGTCTGTAA